TGTGTACATATGTGTATGCCCGTGTGTACATGTGTGAATGTATGTACATGAGTGTGTATGTGTACATATGTGTATGCACGTGTGTATATGTGTGAGTGTATGTACATGAGTGTGTATGTGTACATATGTGTGTGCACATGTGTGAATGCATGTACATGAGTGTGTATGCACGTGTGTACATGTGTGAATGTATGTACATGAGTGTGTGTACATGTGTGAATGTATGTACATGAGTGTGTGCATGTGTACATGTGTGTGTGAATGTATGTACATGAGTGTATGTGCATGTGTATATAGATGTGTGTGCACGTGTGTATGTGTGTACATGTGTAAATGTATGTACACAAGTGTGCGTGCATGTGTGCATATGAGTACACACGCATGTATGTACATATGTGAGTGTATGTTCACGAGTGCGTGCATGTGTGCACATGTGTGAATGTATGTGTGTATGTGTACATAGATGTGTATATGTGTGAATGTATGTACATGAGTGTGTGTGCATGTGTACATAGATGTGTGTGCACACGTGTGTGTACACGTGTGTGTCGTGCCTGCAAACCCAGGATGGCCAGGCTCGTGGGGCCCCAATCTGTTGCGGGCCCCGTCTATGCCATGGGCTGCTGTGAGGATGAACTGAGGGTCCACGGGAGACATTGGCCTGATTGGCATGTAGGTCGCACTGAGTGGACACTCCTTCCCATACGCTGCCTCCTCACTCTTGATGCCCAGCTGATGCCCAGCTGTCTACCTGCCTCTATGTGGCCAGCCTTGCTTCCCCTGCTAAGTCCCCAGTCCATGAACCAGCCTTCCAGCAGGGCTGGACCAGCCTCCCCTGCAGCAGGAGGGAAGGGGATTAGACACTAGGAGAAACTGCCAGGCAGCAAGGGCAGTATGGCCCTGGGGAGCTGGCCAGGGAGGCGGCACCTGTCAGGCCCCAGGACTCAGTGCTGATTGGCAGCCATCCTTGGAAGCTCACGAGGTGCAGTGGACGATGACCGCTGACTGCCATCAGCAGCCCACGGTCGCCACCCAGGCAGTTGCCTGTATCCCTGAGAGGCAGAGGGGTGGCATGCTTTTAATCTGTGGACACTTAAAGTGATGAAAATCCCGGGGCCAGGTAGACCCCCTGGCACAGGTCAGAGCCCAGGGGACAACAAAGCGCCTAAGGGCATTGTGACACCTGGCACCTGCCTCCTGGTAAGGCCTCGGGGAGGTGGGTGCAGGAGGTGAGCAGGCTTAGGCAGGCCACATGTCTGTGGGGACGAGCTTCTGCCTGTCTCTGGCTTCAGTGGTGTCCTCTGTGGAAACCTAGACACCTCGACAGAGGGCACGGCTTACGGCTGACCCTCCCAAGGCCCTGGATATCCTACCACACCACGGGGTCTGAGTGTGTGGTCAACGGGAGGGCAGTGGCCTGCCCGCCAAGGTCATCAGCCCCAGCTGATGACTCCAGAGCCCAGAGGGCCACATGGTACATGGGCATCACTGCCAGCTTCCTCTCAGTATCTGATGTGGACCCCTGGCCTCTGACCTGTCCCCTGGGGTCTCAGGGATACACTCCCCACAGACCTCTCCTCCCCAGCCCTGGGCTCTGGCTCCACGCAGGCCAGTGAGGGCCGCTCTGAGGCCACACTGGGCTCCTCTGCAGGTCTGTGTGTGCACACATATGCAGACAGACATGCACACAGATGCACATGTGTGCAGGTACACACACTTGCAGTTACGTGTGCACACACCTATGCACAAAGACACACTCTCCCACATACACAGATATGCACTCATGCACACTTACCCAGACACACGCAAAATGCACACGCCTGCACCCAGGCACTCACACAGATGCTTGTGTGCACTTGCACACGCAGATGCAAATTCACACCCTCAAACAGGCGCATCTCACACACATTCTTCCACACCCCTGCCAGCGCCGGATCGGAACCAGAGGGAAGCCTGATGAGTCTGTTTTCCTGGCCATGCCCAGTCTGATGTGGGCATCATCAGGCCCTTCGGTAGTGGAGGGCCAGGAAGCCGGCCAGCCAGGCCTCAAGGTCATTACCTTAACTTCACCCGGGGGTGCTGGACAAGTGTCAGTGGAGACAGGGCCACAGCACTGAAGGCGCCAGTGGGCTGCTGAGCAGTCAGGTGGGATGTGAGCAGGTGGTGGGTAAGTGCCCCCTCAGTGATCCCCACAGGAGAGGGCAGGGACGGTTCTGGTCTGTGGTCCTAAATGTGCGCCGGTCAGGGTGACTCTGGCCCCAGTCTATCAGGATCCTTGTCTGAGCCTGTGGTGTCCTTGTCGAGACCAGCCGGAAGGCGCCTGCCCCGCACTGCCTTTCACCTCAACGCCTTAATGGCTTGTGATGCCCTGAGGCCCCTGGACTCTGAGGAACCCTGTTGGAGAAGCCGCGGGTGGCACTACCAGGCCGTCCTCCAGCCCCTGAGCCTAAGGAAGGTTCGTCCAGGGGTCCTGGCCCCCAGGGGTGAGGCTGCCTGAGAGGCACCGGCTCTGGCCCAGGCCCTCCCCACCGCACCTTGTCACCTCCTTCCTCTCTCTGTCCAGGCCACAGAGGTCCCTGGAGCATCCCCACCCCAATAAGGCACCGAGCACGCAGGGCTGCAGGGGCTGGCAGGCCTCTAGGGAACCCCTTTCAGATTAATGGGTGCTCGGGACAGGGTGACCAGTGGCAGTGGGGGACTCTGGGGAACTAGGGAGAGCCCTGAAGGGTGGGCACAGCTTGGAGCGTGCCTGTATCTGCAAGCTGGCACAGGGTGAGGCTGGAGGGGCTCCTGGCCATGTTGGTGCAGCTGCCCCCAGCACGATAGGAGTCACACCGTCTGGTGGAGGAGAGGGCTTGAGTGCGCAGGGCGGCCCGTGGGGTTTCCGTGTCCTTGTGGAGAGGACCCTGCAGTGTGGACTAGCCTGGCTCCCCGGGACACTGCTGGCTGTTGTCTTGGGCCTCAATAATGGCCGTGGTGTGGCCCCACAGAGCAGCTTGGCCACTCTGCCCTGGGCAAACTCAGCCTCCTCCCCAGCACGCAGGACCTCCCAGTCCTCCTTTCGGCCAACACCCCAGGGCCTGGCCCTGACACCCCTCCAGAGAGCAGTGAGGCCTCCGGCCCACCGTGCGGATGAGCAAAGTGAGGCGTGGGGGTGGGGCTGCCCTCGGCCACTGGGCTGGGGAGATGGCCCAAATCCAGCCTCGGGCATCTGAGGAGGTTCGTCCTGGCTGCCATGGTGGGTCCGCCCGTGAGGTCGGCGTGGGAAGGACGCAGGGAGGGGACTGCAGAGTGGTGACTGGCTTTGTGTCGCCAGGCAGCTGGGCCTGGCAGTAGGGAGTGGCCAGGCCCTGAAGCCAGGCAGCTGGCTCTGCATGGTCTGCAGCGTGGCCACCTGTCGGGTCAGGACCCTTGAGGACAGGAGAGACTGAGGTCTAAGGGGAGGGACGCACCAGGGTCCCTGACTCACATGCCGGGAGCCGTCTCCCTTCTCCAGGGAAAAGGCAGCACTGGGTCTGGACCATCTCTGGGATGTGCAGGCGTGGCCCCCAGGGCCTGGGCGAGCAGGGTGGGAAGCCAAGGGCCCGTGTCCACCTGCTGGAGGAGGACAGAGGAGGTGGGGGCGGGAAGGGGTCACTGTGGCCCACCCAACTCTGCGGGGGTCCTCAGGGAGGCCAGAGGCTGGCCCAAATGACCTTTCTTTGTCCCTGCCCCGCTTTCAGAAGAATGTTGTAATTCTTCCCAGAAATGCAGTGGGCGGGGAAAGTGGAGGAAGAGCAGCAAGAAGGACAGAGGGTCGGGAGGAGAGGGAGAAGGACGAATGTTGAGGAGGCTGGAGGGTAGATGCCAGGCAGAGACCTCCACGGCCATGCCACGGCTGCCCACCTGGCCTGCTCGTGCTAATGGGACTACCTGTCCCTGGGTCAACATGGCCCTGCTGGGCATGTGTGTGTGGACAGTGAGCAAATGGGCTGTGCACAGGTCTGGATGCTACTCTGGAAGCCCACGTTCTGGGCACTGCCCGGGTGCTGGGAACTGTCCATGTGCTGGGCACTGCCCGGGTGCTGGCACTATCCAAGTGTGGGGCACTGCCCTTGTGCTAGGCACTGCCTGGGTACTGGGAACTGTCCATGTGCTCGGTACTATTCAGGGCACTGTCCAGGTACTGGGCATCACCCAGGTGCTGGGGCTGGACACTGTCCATGTGCTTGGTGCGCACTGGGCATTGTGTGCTGGTGGGCACTGTCTGTGGGCTGGGCACTGCCTAGGTGGTGGGCACTGTCCGTGTACTGGACACTGCATGGGTACTGTCCATATCTTGGGCATTGTCCATGTGCTTGGCACTGCCCAGGTGCTGTGCCCTGTCCATGTACTCAGCACTGCTTGGGCACTGGGCACTGTCTATGTGCTGGGTGCTGTCTTTGGGCTCAGCACTGCCAGGGGCTGGGCACTTCTGGGTGCATGGCACTGCCCGAGTACTGGACACTGCCCACATACTGGGCTCAATACTGTCTGGGTGCGGGGTACTGTCCAGATGCTCAGTGGGCACTGTGTTCCAGGCACAGCCTCTGTGCTGGGTGGGCACTGTCTGCAGGCTGAGGACTGCCCGCATACTGGGCACTGTTCATGTCCTGGGCAATGTCCAGGTACTTGGCACTGCCTAGGTGCTGGGCCCTCCTGGGCTGCACACTGCCCTCTACCTTCTCTTCCAGGCTTCGCTGGTGGTCACAGGCAGGTGTCAGGAGCCGAGGTCGCCCCTCGCCCTGCGTGAAGCCACACCTCGTCTGTTCTCTGCCCCATTGCCCAGACCGCCTGCCCGCCGCCAGCCCCTGGCATGTCAAGGCCTGGCTGCCGCCGGCCTGCCCAGCCCGCGGAACCCCAGCGGCCCCGCGAGCTAGGATGAGGGCCCAGGCCGCCGCCCCGGGCCCCCTGTGGATCCTCACGCTGCCGCTGCTGCTGCTGCTTCTGGGGCGCCGGGTGCGCGCGGCCTCGGGGCTGGACACGGTGCCCGGGCCTGAGCCTTGCTCCACGCTGGTGCAGGGCAAGTTCTTCGGCTACTTCTCCGCGGCCGCGGTCTTCCCGGCCAACGCCTCGCGCTGCTCTTGGACGCTGCGCAACCCCGACCCGCGGCGCTACACGCTCTACATGAAGGTGGCCAAGGCGCCCACGCCCTGCAGTGGCACCGGCCGCGTCCGCACCTACCAGTTCGACTCTTTCCTGGAGTCCACGCGCACGTACCTAGGCGTGGAGAGCTTCGACGAGGTGCTGCGTCTGTGCGACCCCTCGGCGCCCCTGGCCTTCCTGCAGGCCAACAAGCAGTTCCTGCAGATGCGCTGGCAGCAGCCTGCCCTGGACCACACGATGCCCAGCTGGCCCCACGGCCCCACCGACGACTTCTCTGTGGAGTACCTGGTGGTGGGCAACCGCAGCCCCAGCCGGGCCGCCTGTCAGATGCTCTGCCGCTGGTTGGACGCCTGTCTGGGCGGCAGCCGCAGCTCGCACCCCTGTGGCATCATGCAGACCCCGTGTACCTGCCTGGGCGGGGACGCTGGTCCTTCTGCCGCTGGCCCCCTGGGCCCTCGTGGAGACGTGTGTCTGCAGGATGGGGTGCCTGGAGGCCCTGAGAACTGCCTGACCAGCCTGACACAGGACCGGGGAGGGGACAGTGCTGCAGGTGAGTGCTGGGCAGGTGGACCACAGAGGACCTAGAGCAGGGAGGGGTAGGAGTGAGGGCTTCCCAATGGGGCTGCTCTGGCTCGAGGGAGTTGGGCGGACAGAGCTACACTATGTATGATCTCTCTGGCCGCTGCGTAGCAGCCCAGCCACACTACCTTCTGAGTAACTGAGTGAATGAATTAATGGTGACCTGAACCCAAAATTTCAGGTGAGGGACGGCCCTGTGCTTGCACAGACCCACTGTCCATGGCTAGGAACCATGGCCCCTTGCAGCGGCTGACCATGTGGACTGGGAGTGGGTCAGCGGGGTTCTAGTGGCTTGGAGCACCTGGAGGGGTGGGTGCTTGGAGAGCCTTACCTGGAGATGACATAAAAGGAGGGACTTGGGTTTGATGTCAGAGAGAGTCCACAGAGGGGATGCCCAGTGCCAGGACACCACTGGGAAAGCCCATCCCTGTCCAGCGCTGGTGCCTCAAGGGATGGAGGTCAGGCGGGGCCATAACAGACACCTGGACAGCTGACAGCTGCACTGGGTGGCAGAGAAGGGGCAGCAGCCCGGGGGCACATTTTCCCAGAGGGGTAAGATGGACCTGATGAGGAAGGTTCTTGGAGTTACAGGAGCAGGAGGGCTGAGGCCTGCAGACTCAGGGACCCAGCTCCATGCTAGGACACTCCCAGTGGAGAGGCTGACAGCTGTAGATGCAGCCTGGGGGACATCCTGCAGGAGACCATGACACATATCCTCTACATGGTCTCAAATGCACACACATGCCCACACATGGACATACCTGCATGCACACACCTAGAGAAATATGCACACATATGCACAGACTCCTGCACAGTGCAACACTAGCTCATGTACACACATGTATATGCACACACGTTTGCACACTGTCGTGTTTACACGTGTGAATATACACTCACATGCTTGCCCACAGGAAAATGTGCACACATACACACGTGGATATGCACACACATGCATGCACACAATTAGAGACTCACACAAGTGAGAAGTGAGGCTGGTCGAGGGGACTCTGCATCCCTTGGGGAAGTGGAGGTCCCCTCACGGGCTTTGAGGCCTCAAGCCCAGGGGATCCCCAGGATTTGGCCCAGGGGCATGGGAGGCCAGAAGGTCGCAGAGCTGGGGCCTCTCAGGAGGGTGCCGACTGTACTGGGGATCTCCGTACGGAGACAAGGGGCTGAGCAGTGACAGGGTGGGGCTGGCGGGGGAGATGAGGGTGGCAGGGTCCTCAGCCTCCCATGTCACTGACCCCACTGGCATCCGGTGAGCCATGGCCTCCTCTCAGAAGGATGTGCGCACAGGCATCAGATAACCTGGAGGAGGTAGCAGCCAAGGACCGGGGACGCAGACGAGCCCTGTGGGTAGCCAGTGGAGGGGTCCAGGCCTCAGGTCAGGAAGCGGAGGGTGGCCTTGCCCACTGGAGTCTGAGGAGGAAGAGGCAGCACAGCCTAGGGGCTGGGGTTGGGGGGGGGTACCAGAAATGCTGAGACAGGGGCCAGTGAGTACCAGGTCGGGGTTGAGGACCAGCTTCAGTCTGCACCACACATGGTTGCCTTGGCCTTGAAAAGGGCAGGGGAAGGAGCAGAGTTGTGGGGCAGAGGCTGGGGTGATGTGGGAGGAGTGGACCCTGGAACCCCTAGGGGGCTGGAATTCCCTGTGAAAGGCTGGCGACTGTGAGTGGTGATTCCATTGAGCTGGTAGGGTGAGCCCCAGGATCTGGCCCTCCATCACCCCGGGACATGAGAACTACTCGCTGTTCATGGTCAGGGGTTCCAGGAGGCTGAGCTATGCCGGTGCCGGAGGAAGGGCCAGTGCAGCGGGTGGGTGACGAGTGGAGGATTCTGGACCCAATCAGCGACCCACGGACGCTGGTGCTGCAGGCGAAGTGGGACGTCCCCCTTCACTTGTAGCCATGACCCATGTGCTGGCTAGGCAGTGTGGGGTGCTGGGGAGTAGAGGGCAGCGGGGCTCGGGGAGTGGAAAGTCAGACACTGAGGGAATGCTGGGGCAGGGAGATGGTCAGGCACTGCACAGGGCTGGCTGACTCGCAGAAGGAAAAGCGGAGCACAGAGATGTCCTGGCCGCCTGGGCTGCTGGCCTGTGAAGGGGCCTCTGCTGAGGAGGCAGGTGGAAGAGGCTGGGAAGGAGGGTCCAGAGGTCAGAGGATCTGAGGACAGGCGAGCTGGGTGTCATGCGAGCCTAGGAGACAGGAGATCCCGTGGGATGAGGGTGATGTGTACTTGGAGGTGGTACCTGAGTCACATTAGCAAAGCCCCGGGCCAGGCCTGACCCCACATTAGCAGCCCTGTGTCACTGTGTGTCCCTAGACTGACCCCTCAGGAGCCTCACTGCACAGGGGGGAAGAGTGAGACTCCTCACTTTCCTGCCCCACAGAGGAAGGTGCTGGGCTGAGCAGGACTCTGGGGAGAAGGGGAGCAGAGCTGGGACACCGTGTCCGGGGGTGTCAGGAGCAGCCTCCAGGGGGTGTGGGGGCACAGATGAAGGAAGGAAGGCTTGAAGGACGGGCTGAGCCTGCTAGTGTGTGTGATGACTGTGAGGAAAGGGAATCTCGGAGGGCTGCTGAGGAGTGAGAGGGTGTGTGCGTGCGTGTGAGCATGTGTGTGCATAGGCCAGTACATGAGTGTGAACCTCACATTGGGCAGGGAGTGTGTGCGTGTGAATGCATGTCTGTGTGCCATGTAGGTACACATGTGGGGTATAGGTGCATCGGTGTGTGTGTGAGAGAGAGAGACTCTGCAGGGTGTGTGTGCACGTGCATGGTGGATGTGCTCATGCACGCAGGTGTGCAGGAATCACACGTGTGTACTGAGACCGGGCTCTGCAGTCAGGGCCTCTGTCACAGAGCATGAGTGCTGGGGGAGGAGTCTCGAGAGCCTCAGGGTGAAAGCAGGCTCTGCGCTGGCTGTGTGCAACAGACCAGTCACCTGGCCCCCGATGCACAGACGTGGTGGCTCAGACTGGGGTCCCGGAGGCCTGGACTGGGAGGGCTTGGCTGTGTCCACAGCGTCGGGCAAGGATGGTCTTCGTGGCGTAGAGCCTCCGGCTGAGCTGGGAGCTCTCACACACTCATTGGTTCACTGCAGTCTGTGAGCTGGCCCCAGGGCAGCACCCACCAGCCCCAGGGCCTTTACACAGGCTGTGTCTTCACCTGACACCCAGAGGGCCACCTCCTCCAGCCAATTTCTTGGTTGCAGGATCCTGACCCCACTGTGGGATGGCCACATCCTGGTCCCCAGCTCTCAGAGCCCAGGCCTGGTGGCCTCTTCTCTCCATGAGCATGAGACCCTCAGCATAGGCATCTGTCCTCATGAGCCATGTCTGCTGACTGATGTCTGTTTGCCCCTGCTGGGGGACACACCAGAGGAAGAGTGGTTGCCCCCCATGCTCATGTACCCCTAGTGCCTAGATGGTACTGGACTCACAGCAGGTCAGTGAATGCTGGCTAAGTAGAGCTCAGCAGATGCTGAGTAAGTGCTGGCCGAGTGGAGGGAAGGGCGCCCTGGTGCCGCAGTGGGTAGCTGTCTGACTGCTGCTAACCAGTCGTCAGTACTTTGAGCTCCAAGGGAATGCTGTGGAGTCTGCCTCTGTGAAGAAGGCAGCCGTGGGGATGCCCCGGGCAGTTCTGCCTGACCTGGAGGAGTGATGGGACCTGGAAGCCGTGGGTTTGAGGCTTTGGGGAGTGGAAGGAGGCCCAGAGACGTTGAGACGTATGCCCAAGCTCACACAGTCATAACTAGCATCTGGGAGCAGAACTTGTGTGTGGGGGGTTTACTATTCACAAGAGTGCATGTGTGTGCACGGATGGTTACGTGCATGTATGTGTGCAATAACATGTATATGTGCATGTAGGTCAGCATGTGTATGCACATGGGTTCACCTTGTGTATTCACACGTGCTCACGTGTGTACACACATGTGTGATAATATGCCTGTGTCAACATGTCTGTGTGTGCATGTTGTTCCGTGTGTTTGTATGTGCTCACATGTGTGTTTGTTCATGTGTGTGATCACGTGTGTTAACATGTTTGTATGAAGGTCTGTGTGTTCATGCACATGGGTACACCGTGTGTATGCACGTGTGCTCGTGTGTGTGTGTATACACACACATGACTGTTTCTGGTGGAATCTGCAAGGACTGAGAGGTTGTAGGAAACCACACAGCTGGGCAAGGAGGTGTAGGACCGGGCCTCTGTGCTGAATCAAGAGCCCAGACCTGCACTCCTCCCGTCCAAGCGGGCGGCGCCCTGGAGGGCGAGGAGCGAGCAGGCGGCTGCAGCCAGCTTGTGGCCCATTTTCAGCCCCTGCCCCCACCTGGCCTCCCAAATGCCACATGGCCACGTCACGCGCGAGGCGCCTCAAACCCTCCTCGGGCCAGAGCAACTGCTCTCTGTCCTCGCGCTGCTCTGCTGCCCACCTGGCCACCCCTTTCTGCCTCCAGGCCCCACCCCACGTCTCTCAGGGCGCCGCTGTCTCTATGCTGAGCCCCCTGCATTTTTCTGCCTCTAGTGAGATGGGCCATTCCTCTCAAGGGTTGTTTTAAATATTCATGTTTTAATTAAAGAATTTTATTGCAGAAGCGACATGTGAGATAATGAAAGAGCAGCGTCCTGAGGGCTGGGAGGGAGCGTGTGTGTGGGGGGGACGCGTGCATGTGCATGTGTGCACCTGTGGGGAGTATGTGTGTGCATGCATGTGTGCATGTGGATGTGATTTTCTGGTGTGTGAGTGTGTGAGGGGTACGTGTGTGCCCACATGTCTGGTGACGGTCCTCCATACTGTGGTTTTAGTGTGCTCGTGTATGTTCCTGTGTGTACGTGGTTTCATGTGCCTGTATTGGTGTGAGACGTGTGTGTTTTCCTGTGTGTATGCGCAGTCTCTGTATATGTAGGCTCTTGATGGGATGTGTGTGTGTCTGTATCTGAGTTTGTGTATATTTCTGTGTGTGGGGTGCGTGTC